AGATGGCAACTGTTTGGTATGGGGGAAAAGGCCTGACATTATAAGAGCTAAATACACCATTGAAAGTGGAGAAGAAAGAGAAAGCATTTTGTAAGCCTCGGGTTGGTGGGGATTATCAAGACATTTTCATTATATCCCAGAAATCCTCCTGTCCTTGTTCTGGACTTTACCAACGGGATTTGTGCATTTACTGCCATACACCTACGTCATAGTGTTAGTTTTCCTTCTAACACACCGAAGTTTTAGGGATGAAAATAAGTGCTCTAGAAAATACGGGAAATATTGGCAGGAGTATTGTGCGAAAGTCAAGCACAGAATAGTGCCATTTCTTTTTTGAAATAAATATTCTAAATAATATGAAACTTTGTACATAAACTTTGCGTTATAAATGTAAAGACACTGATCTTAATTTTTTCGGTTTTATGTGATAAATAAATAGACTGATCCGTATTTAGCGGATGGTCTTTGTGTCCTCTAACCAGAGAATAATATTTGATTCGATGAGCTATGTAATTATGTACCATCACACATCATGTATAGATTCACTGGCCTCAAGATTACGAAATTGCAGGTAGCTCAAAGAAATTTATGATTTCTAATTAGATATATATCAGAACCTGGAGTAAAATAATCACCTAGGAGAATCATTATATTTGCTGGCAGAGGTGTTATACACATTTGACACCATAACAAGAGTGAACACTTGCCTGAAACATGAGTAGGACGTTTACTGACCAAGTTTTCACATTGCGAGATTAACTTTAAACACTTCAAGTACTAGTACTTGATGTTACAAAACGACATTATTTGTGAGGGACAAATAGATACAATGGACATTTTAACAAATAAGACAGTGATATTACTAAAAATATATATAACTAAAGCTATAAAAGGAAAGTTTGCAACGCCTTTAAATCCGACATTTTTAAATTTTATTCATGTTGTGCTTTCTTTAGGGATTCGATCTGTATTTCTCTATTTTGTTTGATTTTCTACTTTTAACGCCGATTGTGACACATATTTGGTTCAGATCAGAAAAGGTGGCCAGGAGTTTTTCTTCATAAATGTATATTTAGGCATTATAAAATACACATTTTAACGAAACAGAATGTACATCACTAGAAAAACTCGTTACATTTAGACCTCGAAGAAAGGAGGAGCAACCAGATCAATCCAAACGAAATGAAAAGGTAAGGTTAACATGTTATCAGATATGCATTGTCTTTATTGCAGATAGGCATTGTCAAACAGATATATGTCAGTACTTCTTTAAACGACTTGTTACGATAAAGCTGGTGACATATGATGAAATAGGCTCCAAGAATGACTATATAAGGCTCACTTTGATGTATGTGTAAAGTTGAATGAATAGTGTCAGACAATAAAAAATGGATGTGCTTATCCTTCAAGGGGCAAACACCAGAAAGTGTTTGGAAAACACTGGCACGTCCATTGAATTTATATAATAAGAAACGCTTTAGAAAAACGGTCCACCTTATCATACTAAACTGTACAAAAATCATTTGAGATATTGTAGACAGAGAACATCGGTGTCCCAGGCAGCTCTAGGTCAAGATATCAAAATGATTACAATCTCTTCGTATCCAACCGCACCCAAAAGAGGTAAGAGAGACACACTTGCGAAAGAACAATGTGTAGATACCTTGGTTTCCTCAGATATTCAATACCGAGTGAATGAGCTAGGTGATTGAAAAAGCAAAGACTCCAAAGATTAAACAACAACCAAGCCAGCAATTTAGTAATAGTAAAATAATGAATTAAGTAAACTAAAACATAATGGAAAGAGATTTTGCAAACAGAATCTTTATACGCATGTAAAACAATAGTAAACAAAGCCCCGCTGCATAGAAATGATAATTATGTAAAGGTTTAGAGATGCCGATACGAGCCTAGGAAACGAAATTGTTTTTAAATGTGTAACGTAAAGAATTATTTAATTGTTGTTAAATCAATGCACCCAGTGAGGCGATAAATCTAAAACTAATCAGCAAATCTCACTTTAAGAACCAATGCTATAAAAAAATAATCAACTGATCCAGAACTTATAACCAACCTTAAACTGTGATGAATCTAATATTCAGGGGCCAGTATTGAGCTATCAGTAGCTGGTAGCTAATGAAGTTGCCACAAGAAAACGAGTACACGTAGGACATGCGGAAAAATACATAAAAAACAATTAAAGCGTTGTGAATCTAAATAAGTTCGTAGGATAGGTTTTGCTTTTTGAAATAAACAGACTTTAAACTAGCGGAAAAATTTTCGGAAGTTTTATATAAAATTTCCAAGTGCGGCTTTATCCAAGGAACAATACAAGTAGTACATTGTGACAGGACTTAAAATGCGGAGTTTCAGATATATCAAAGTGAGAGTGGACATTTTTTGATAATATATCCTAGATCAAGATGGAGAAAAAGAGAGTCAGATGTTAATGTGTATTGCCAGAGTTACCATAAGACTTTAGAAAAAAAGAAAGTGAAGTTAATCTAGAAAAAAAACGAACTTGACTGAGAAAAATAGAAAACCTATTTCAATAATTCGATATGCACATTATTGCGAAATCAGAATAAAAAATAAGTTATTCTTATTTTGTTCTTGTTATGTCTACATGTATTTGTATTTGTGACTTGGTTAGTGAAAAGCCAAAAACATGGAAACCCTGGTTTTTTTTATCAACTTATTGGCTTTTTGTCTTTGATATGCCACACGAAAAACGTATCATAAATCACGTTTCCATTTCCTATTTTACTATGCTAGTAATTATAAATCATCTTGATATCATATATTTAATAACAAGGTTAATATCTCATATATCTAGGTATTAACTTTAATGATAATTTGAGCTTTTCCTTCATTAAAGTATTTCATGAAAGGCAGGTTTCTTCGTTTATATGGTTGTAAATTCTATCTCGCTAATTAGATAACATATTATATTCATTATAACATATACGAGTTTAACGAACTGTAAGCACTTTAAGAATTATGCAAGTATGTGACATTTAATACTTCTGGACAAAAAAGGAAGATAATTCTAAACAAGAATACTGCGGAAGGCAATAGATGCTCCCCAAAAATGCACATTTGACAATGTATTTTAATGCACATCAGTCAATAAAGGCAATAGTGCAAAAATGTAAAATATATGTAAAACATATGCATTTTTCATGTCAACTAAAAAAATATATGCAACTTTCAAATATATAAAGTATCAGTCGATGGATAAAGAGCTATATAAGCAAAGTGTAAACTCCACCATTTCAAACTTTTACCAACGACTTATATGGTTTCCTCGTCTTTGGACGGAATGAATTGTGAGGACGGAAGCCATATTCCTATTGTATGTTCTCCCCCATCGGTTAAGGTGATTGGTATAAGTGTTGAGTAAGAATATACAAAGGTTGACAACAGTTTAAAAAGGAATTTTGACAAAAAATCGGCCTTACTATCGAACATTCAGATTAAGATTTTACGTGAATTTCAAAATAACACGTAAACAAAACATGACCAGTAAAGAACTTAAAGCATATGCAACTGTATTTTGGTTTAAATAATTCAGGGACTTCTAAAACATAATATATATTTTTATCGAATGTGATAGCTTCCAAAAAATGTTATGACACCTTTGACAGATGCAACATATTTATACATTTGATTTCTGTCTATACCGAGTTGCTGTGACGAGAGCATCAATTGACAAATATGTCTATCTTATCGCCTAGTCAAGTTAATTTAGCCATTCTGTCGAAAGCGATGTTTTTGTGTCGCCTCTACGGAGTAGTGGCGACATATAGGGATCACTAACTGGTGCAATTTCATCCAAACTTTACAGGAATGATCAGTACCAGGTCTAGTTGTGCATATTGTCAGCATTTTCCGGTTCAATGATTTTTGTCAGAGTTATGGCCCTTTAATAATTTTTATTTTTAAAGTTTGTCCGGACTACTTCTCTTATACCACAAATGCAATTTCAATGAAACTTTACAGGATTGATCTGTAGCTCAAGTCCTTGCGCATATTGCACGGGTTTTCCGGTTGAATGATTTTTGGTCGAGTTATGGCCCTTTGATAAAAAGGTGTTTTTTTCTGTGTGTTGCCAGATACACAAAAGCTTGTCCGGGCTACTTCTCATAAACTACTGATGCAATTTCATCCAAACTTTACAGGAATGATCAGTACCAAGTCTAGTTGTGCACTGTCCGTCTGTCTGTCCGTCTGTCACATAACTTGTCTCAACAAGAAATTGGCCATCATGAGGCGACACATGTGATCACCGATCGCTCTTGTTTTATATTATCAACATTGTACGTATCGTATATCATGCACGTCTCTATAAAAAAATATTTAAAAAAAAAAACAAAAAACAAACAAACGGATCTTATGGCATAATATTTCATATAAGCTTTATTAGTTTTTTTTAGTTTTATTGCACATTAATTACAGAAAAAAAAGAAATGAAACAGTTTGTCTATTCATAGACACGTTTCCTATAATATTAAAATTATTTTTCGAACTGACAATGCAATTAGATCTACATCCTTTATTTACAATTTGTCCTGTTTTTCCCCAGCTTATGAACAATCACTAGGTAATATTTCGAATGTACATTAATAAAAAGTGCTTATTTTTACGTCTCTTTGCGCAGAATAGGTACGAAAGTCACGGAATACCTTGACGATTATGAAATATCTTTAAAATTATGCTGACAAAATAATAAAAAATAGAAGTAAAAAGAGATATTGAAATAAATAATGAAAAAATAATATACACTCAACTTTTGATGATCTGGTAATGCAAAAAGAGATCATGAGGTGTTCAGCGTTAAATTAGTTGTAGCAAAAAAAAAAACCTTAGTGCAACTGGTTCATATTTCTGCATGCAGATTGCAGACGACACAACAAAGGAATGACTCATTACGCCGACAAAGAAGTAACCGAGGAAACGATGTCTTTTTGTTATTGTAACAAAGTAGTTAAGGTATCAACGAATTTTTGCAAGGTAGCAAAAATCTGTGCTTAACGTTTAATAGATCAATGGAAAACGCAGACGAAACTGATGATGACGTGTGTGATGTATCATAAAATATGCAAATGAGCTTCTGTATTTCTTAAATATCTACTTCATCGTGTCATATATACATATACTTCATGTAGACGAAACTTGAGTTAAAACTAGTCGTATATTGAGTTATAACTAGCCGTATTTCAGTTAAAACTTAAGTCGTATGCTCAATTAAGCGGATGTTATAAGGAAGGGAGTGTTATAAAAATAGCGTAAGTAGTTTTATTATTTTAAGGTTATGTGTATTTATATAATCCATGTGTGAATGTGGCTGACATCTTATTTGTATTGTACTAGAAATATACATAGTTATTTCGAGCTTTTCAGAGCATTTTGAAAATGAATAAAATAGGTGATTACTTAATTACAATATCTCTGATTTGTAAATATGATACTTTAACCACTTTAAATGAACTAGGCTTTCTTCTCAGTTCTACACTTTTAATTGTGTAATATATTACAAATGTAAATCTAAATGAAAAAAAAAACACATTTTTTATCCAATACGAAATTTCAGACGTGAAAAAGAATATCAAATTCAAAGTATTCAAAATTGCTTGACATGTTTCATCATGCGTGTCGTTTGAAATAAATCTAACTTTATATTCAACAGTGATGAATATATTAGTGTACAAAAATAAAATCAGGCCGAGAAAAATTATATAAATTAGCACATTAGTGAATTATTACATAACAACTAAAAGTGCTGTGAAACTACTTCACCTTTTTTAAGTTTTAATTTTGGATATGACAATTTAATCAGGTAGATATGGATATGTAATGTATAAAGGAACATGTCAATGACTCCTTCGTGATTCAAACACGTGCAATTCACGTGCAATTCCTTTCGAGATGCTGCTTATCAGTACAGTAACGTAACTTAACTCTATAATTATATGGGTTGACTTAAAAAGCTTTACTGAATATTTCTATTTGGTTTTTTTCCCACGTGCAAAATGTTTGGTCGAGCACGAACTGAACTTTATAAATGATTTTTTTTTTCAAAATTCGTAATTCGCCTTCCATTTAAGTACTTTTATTCTGCATGTGATTAAAATAATCAACACTCTATCTATTTTTTCATGCATATGCTTATTTAATAAATCAATAACACTTTAGTTGAAAAACCACAATCACGCTATCAGGTGGATCAGTTTCACTAAAGTAGTTCTAAATTTGGTATATTAGCCACATTAATTGCTACACCGCCTCTTTATATATGCGCTGATCTTATGATTTAATGATATCATTTGCATGATTTAATCCCTAAATATAGCTACGAATATATATTAAAATTTTATTTTATAGTTTTAAGTTAATCGTCGGCAACAAATAACGGCAGCATATACTGGCGTTCACAGCATTGAGAAGTGCACTTAAAAGTGTATTTATAGCCAGAACAATGAAATACAAACGTTAATTATATCATTACTACACTAGAGCTGGCTTCCTGTTACTGTACGTTAACAATTAAGGAAGTTGAAACAAAGTGCATAATTTCCGATTGAAAGCATTTACTTCATATATGTTAACACTTACCACACTTAATACGAGCCGCATCATGACAAAACCAACATAATGGGTTTGCGACCAGCATGGATCAATACAAGCCTGCGCATCCGCGCAGTCTGATCAGGATCCATGCTGTTCGCTATCAGTTTCTCTACTTGTTAAAGGGGTTTGTAAGCGAACAGCATGGATCCTGATCAGACTGCGCGGATGCGCAGGCTGGTCTGGATCCATGCTGGTCGCAAACCCATTATGTTGGTTTTGTCGTGACGCGGCTCATATATCAAATGGACTTGTCTATCTATCAAACTGGACAAAACCATTTATAATTTAAGGGGAAAATATACAAAATATGTTATCTTACTATAATAGTAAGAACCGTCTCAAAGTGGTATATTCAAAGCAGTCTACATTTCCGTATATTTCGGGTAAGAAGCTTTGGACGTAGAACAATAATACACAAAAGCAATTCGTCCGGGTTTTAAGGAAGACTTCGTTCGCGAGAAAGTTACGTTTTAATTCCTAAAACTTCTACAAATTTTTCTATGATAATATGCCTAAGTTTAGAAGGGAAATATAACTGTTATTCGTTCTTCTACTGCATAAAAGAAACTCATCTATATCATTTATGTCATAAAGTAGCACATGGAAGCCGCCATTGGACCACTTGACTGAAAGTAGTTCCAATATGTCGCTTTATTATGTCAGAGGACATTTGCAAAGCATAATAACCGAGAAGATCAGATTGATATTTTGTCTGTGCCCAATGAGAAAGCCTCAATTTTAAAAAATGCCGTTGGTCATAAATAAGCCATTTCTTACTCAGCAGACAATATAAAAGTTTTTTTTATGCACTGTTTTTATCTTTTCATGTATTTGTAATCTTCTTCCAGGACATACAGATAACCAAAACTTCAAAATGGCTGCTGTAACAACAAGGTCAAAGACAAGACATCAACATGAAAACGGCGTGTCTAGTGCGCATGTCACTAAAAATGTCAGGAAAAATGAAGTCACGCCTCAAAGTTATGATGTCATTTCAAATAGTTTTAACAGCTACAAGGAAAGTTATGAAACAATTGGGAATTCAGAAGTTGGCCAAAAGATTCGTCATTTCTTAAACAAGCTGTTTTTCCCAGTATGTCTCGTTTCAACGACTCCGTTGATCGTATTTATATGTTGGTATACAAATATACATTGTAACGGAAGTTACACAGAAATGTTCACCAGATTACGGAATGGGTCTGTTTATTTCAATCTATTAGAAATATTGAGAAGCATCAGTATTATCAACAGTTTCACGGTGGGTGTTGTCTTTGGATATTTCGCGTGGGCTGTCTTTTGGATGCGTGTTCTACCTGGGAAGAGTGTAACGGGTCCAGTGACACCAAACGGTAACGTTCCAGTCTATATTGACAATGGATTTTTGCACTATATCATCACAATGCTTGGATTTTGTGTGCTAACAATTGGACTTAAAATGTATGGCATGACGCCAACTGTTGTCTATGACCGCTTTGGAGAACTTCTGGCATTTATGATATGTTTTGCCTTGGTGTTTGTCCTTATCCTGTATTTCAAAGGCGTGTTTGCACCATCATCTACGGACAGTGGCAGAACTGATGGCGGTTTTATCTTTGATTATTATTGGGGAACAGAGCTTTATCCCCGGATATTTGGAGTAGATGTAAAAGTATTTACAAATTGTCGCTTTGGTATGACAGTATGGCCGTTATTAGTGTGTATATACGCCCTGAAAAGCTACGAACTTTACGGATTTGTGGACAGTATGTTTGTAACAACTGTCCTACAACTTGCTTATATTACCAAGTTTTTCAGGTGGGAAGCGGGCTATATGCAAACAATTGATATTATCCTAGACAGAGCCGGGTTCTATATATGTTGGGGATGCTTATGCTGGGTACCAGCTATATATCCGCTTGTTAGTCAGTATCTTGTTAGCCATCCAGTGCGACTAGGTCCATTATGGGCTTCCGTAATTTTGTGTCTTGGACTGGTTTCTGTTCTTGTCAACTATCATGCCGATTTACAGCGCCAGGTTGTCCGAAAAGCAGATGGCAACTGTTTGATATGGGGGAAAAGGCCTGACATTATAAGAGCTAAATACACCATTGAAAGTGGAGAAGAAAGAGAAAGCATTTTGTTAGCCTCGGGTTGGTGGGGATTATCAAGACATTTTCATTATATCCCAGAAATCCTCCTGTCCTTCTTCTGGACTTTACCAACGGGATTTGTGCACATGCTGCCGTACACCTACGTCATAGTGTTAGTTTTCCTTCTAACACACCGAAGTTTTCGGGATGAAAATAAGTGCTCTAGAAAATACGGGAAATATTGGCAGAAGTATTGTGCGAAAGTCAAGCACAGAATAGTGCCATTTCTATTTTAAAATAAATATTCTTAATAATATGAAACTTTGTACATAAACTTTGCGCTAGAAATGTAAAGACACTGATCTTAATTTTTTTTCGGTTTTATGTGTAAAACAAAAAAAGACTGATCGTATTTAGCGGATAGTCTTTGTGTCCTCTAACCGGAAAATATTTATACGTGCTTGATACATGGTAGCTTCTGGTGAATTTTAGGTGCACATTTGAAAATGTATGTCTGAGCACATTTCATACTTTATCACACGCAAAAAACTGTTAAATGCCAGTCTTTCTTTGGAAAAAGCAATCCCATATTTAATTGTACATGTAGTATAATTATGATGAATTTTCAGATGCATATTTTGAAATATGCGTTTCTAATTTTTTCTCTGGAAATTTCAGACTTCAACGCAGGAAAGGTTGTTAAATGCTTACTTTTTCTTGTTTATGTGTAAAACAAAAAAAGACTGATCGTATTTAGCGGATAGTCTTTGTGTCCTCTAACCGGAAAATATTTATACGTGCTTGATACATGGTAGCTTCTGGTGAATTTTAGGTGCACATTTGAAAATGTATGTCTGAGCACATTTCATACTTTATCACACGCAAAAAACTGTTAAATGCCAGTCTTTCTTTGGAAAAAGCAATCCCATATTTAATTGTACATGTAGTATAATTATGATGAATTTTCAGATGCATATTTTGAAATATGCGTTTCTAATTTTTTCTCTGGAAATTTCAGACTTCAACGCAGGAAAGGTTGTTAAATGCTTACTTTTTCTTGGTAATGAATGAATGGCTTCTCGTGTTGTTTCAGCTACACATTGTGCTGCATTATATGAATGAGGCTGAATAATGTACATTAACATTTATATTATATAGCCCTTAAAGAACTAATTGGTTAAGATTTTACATTAATGCTTTAGATATGCGTATCTTAATAGTTAGGTACCACATAAAGCCACTAGCAAAGCGGATCTGGATTTCCTCATCGGAATAATAAAATAATAAAAATAAAATGCATAGATATCAAAGTTTTTAGCCCTTATAAAGGCTGTATTATAGAAGCTTGCAAATCAATCCACTTGTCCTTTTGACAGAACAGAAAAGAAATTTTATACTTTCTTTGATTGTAAATAGACTGAGTCCAATCTCACCCAACTCCTTCACTCCAATATATTTGAGCCGCGCCATGACAAAACCAACAAAGTGCGTTTGCGACAAGCATGGATCCAAAACAGCCTGCGCATCCGCGCAGTCTGATCCGGATCCATGATGTTCGCTATCAATTACTCTACTTGTAATAGGATTTGTAAGCGAACAGCATGGATCCTGATCAGACTGTGCGGATGTTCATGCTGACCTGGATCCATGCTGGTCGCAAACGCATTATGTTGGTTTTGTCATGGCGCGGCTCAATTTATTCTTTCACCAGAATGTCAATATTATAACAAACGTGTTAGTCTTAGAAATTTAGAAATGATTTTAAACACAAAAACAGAAAAAAATCGTTTTCTGGGAAATAATAAATGATATGTTCTAATGTTGTAAATATGATAATTATGCACTTTTACTTTTATACTTTTAATTTCAATGCAACATTGGCCTGTGTAAATACATTTGATATGAAGATGCTGGGGTGTGTATATGAGACTATAGAAATTATTTGAACTGTCGACACCTCTGATAAAACTTGTGTAATAAACTCATTGTCAATTGTCAAAATAAATCTGTTAACAAACTACAAACTGCTTTCTTATTGCAATAATTCTTATATCTTAAATATTGAAAAAAAATCACCAAAATATCACGGATTTATATTACAATCGGATCCTTGAAAATATGAATAGGAAAAAACTCGATTATAAAAATCTATATAAGTCATTTCTGTTAGATACTCAAATAGAAATGTTTCATTTCATACATTTTATTATTAATTTCATTCTTGGAATTATCAGACATTAACCCATTGCAAGAAAACATCTGTATTTGCGGTCCGGCAAGCGGCTATTGTGTATAACTGTATTTTGTATAACAGAGCAGTCTTTGCTAGCTGCATCTGTCTTAAATATTGTTTACGGACATTTGTACGCAGGAATCTGTCTTGCCCTCACTCTAATTAAATAAATATGCTTAATTTAACCATTATTGTCCCTACATAATTATGGAATGCCAAAACGGACATTATAGCAATTTGCCGCCAGTTAACGATCATTTTCTGTACTGGCATTATAAGCCTCCTTGGTCGAGGGGTTAGAGTCGATGACTTCTAATCCAGTTACCTCTCTGGCGTGGGTTCGATCCCCGGGAGATGATTTGGTAGTTTAGCGCGGAGGAAGGTAGTCTAGTACTGGTGTAACTCTCCAGGAAGTATGGTTAGGAAACTACCCGCCTATATATGACTGAAATACTGTTGGGAAAAGGCGTAAAATGAAACAAACAAACAAAATAAGGCAACTGTAATTATAAATCATATTAAACGCCCATTTTTAATCAATTGATAGCAACAAATAAAGCAAAATTATAAATTAATCAATTTATCAAGTAATAAAAAATAAATGTATTTAAGAAACGAATAAACAGAAATAAACAACAACAAGAACAAAAAAAACGAAAAAACAATTTAACGCTTTCTGTCTGAGTCGCGTTCGTCGCATGCAGATTTTTTCTTGATATACTACAACATAGTTGTTGTTGCTAGATCTAGTTGTTGTTGAGTTTGTGGTCATTTTGATTGCCACATACAGGATCTTTCAAATATTTTTTACGATAAAACGGACAATGTTTTAATTTTCACAAAATGCACGTGTCCTTAAAGATTGGTTCCACTTGGTTGAATATGTAGAAAATCGACTGGGGCGATTACATAATTTGAATACTGACAAGGTATGTATTTTGGAGACTACATTTTTGTACGTTTTTATTAAAAATTTGAAATCGGACTAATTCTAGCTAGATTTTAGAAATTACATAAATACCGACATGATTGATGAATAATAAAAATTCTGGAAAGAGCAATGAGAAAAAACAAATAATTAAAAGTCGCATAATCGGTTTAATTGAGCATGCAGGAAGTATATATGAAACACCCGTTAGCACCGGTTTTTAAGAGGCTACAATTAATTACTTAAATGTCAATCCTCGATCATTGAACTGGAGAAAAAAATCGTTAAGTGCATTTCATCAGAATGTCAACATTCACATTCCATGTAGGTGTAAATTAAGTCAAACAATGATGTATTTTTAAGAACTGAAGTAAAATGTTCCGGATTACGTGCCATAGGGTGTGGGGTAATATTGGTCTGAATTTATTTGAGTACGAATCGTTCTGTAAAGGGAGATAATTAAGAAAATCCAAGATGTCAGCGCCCATAAAGTTATTATGACAAAATACTATTTTTAACAGTTGAATATATACCCCAGCGTCTTGATTGCTCATTTTTAAGTTTTGGCGTTACCTAAACCGTAAGTACTTCTGTGGGATAGCAAATATTGTTTATTTATTGTTCGGTCATGTTAAAAAAAAATCCATTTGTTAAAAAAATATGATCTTCCGGAATAATTTCATACAGACTACTGTATAGTGATTCAATGATTCAGAATCAGACTGAGAGTTAGTATAGCAATAAAGTTAATTTCTACTGGTTAGGGACCACCAAAACCGGACAACCACCAAACTCGGACGGCCCCGAAAATACTTAATTTAGTTAATTTAGTATAAAATTTTTTCTTTATTCAGTGGTTGTCAGTCACTTTTTTTATCATGTTTATTCTATAATATAGCAAATGAATTTATTTCAACCTCCGTAACTATTAATATTTTAATGTCTATTTCAAGAATGTTGAGTTTGAAATTTGAGCGTCAAAAAAGCAATACCTGACCTCATATACAAGTCCTATAAATATGACGTCGCTTTGAGATATTTTTGCTTCTGGGCAAAGCAACACTTGACCGACATAAAACTATAACAAGCCTGTAACGTCTAATTTATTGGACTACTCATATACCAGCTTTAATAATTTGCAGAGTAAACAATAGAATTTCCAAAACTTCAGTATTTGTTGCTGAAATATTGTATACCATGTTAAAATTCAAAAATGAAAACACACAAGCTTTTATCTAAATTAAACACAGCCTTGTACATAACTGTCCGGACACATGGTACTGTAGTGTAGACAATTTAGGTTATTTTGATACCCTTCTTGACGAGCCTCAGAAATAAGTGTCAATACAGTCAGAAATAAACAAACCAGTTAGTTAGTTAGGAGAAGAACCTAGCTGTACTATGTCAAATTTTTAGTTCTCTGAGTTGGAAATTATGAAATCAGTTAATCTTATCTGTATGGAAAAATGTTCAAAAAGTGTCCGGTTGATGGTTCCTGACCAGTAAATCAGTCCAAATATAAGAATTAAGATACTTTTCTAGAAAACATGTTCAGGCCAATCAGCTGATCAGGTATTGAGGTAACCAGATTTAAATTTTGCATTTTGTGGTAATCCTAAACATTTCTACTTGTAAAGGCTAAAGCAAGGCAGTAAAAAAGATGTTTCTATCTTTCATAAAATTTAACTGATTAAGCAGCCGGACATGGGGTTCATTTTAGACAATCCCACTACATGGACAGGTACAATTCATTGATAATTAACAGCTTAAAAGCATATGACAGTCTTGTATTCTTTAATGTTTACTTTACATTACAAAATTTATTTTTGGTGTCTGTTTTTGTTTTCATCTTAAACATATCATTCAAGACAAAGTATAAATACTAATATTAAAGACATACAATTGATCAGTTATTTAATCTAAAGATGACTCTTTACCCCTTAAGCTGCTGATTTTTTATGCCCCCAGGCATATAGTAATTGAACCATCTGTCCGTCCGTCTGTCCATACGAGGTTAACCTAGAATGGCAAGTTGGATTTTTCTTAAGTTCTACCTGTACCAATGGCTTCATAATTTACACACTTACTAATCCATACATCTTGAAAGACCGAAATCGGTAGATCCTAGAATAAACCAGTTATAAACCATCCTGATGTTTGATGTGTATTCTCTCCTTCCCTTGATTTACTTGTTAATCCATACAAAGTATATGATCTGGGCAAGTTACATAACTATGGCTTCCATTTGCACCAAGTTATGGCCCTTTTCAGCACTTAGAAAATGAATAATGGTTAACCTGAACCAGCAAGTTGGAAATATCTTATGTTCTATCTGAACTAATGGCTTAATAATTTTCACACTTACTTATCAATACAATGTACATGATATTGCCAAGTTATATAAATGTGCCATCCATTTTCCCAGTAATTTCCTTTTTTATGCCACCGCAGCATCTGCGATGCGGTGGCATCTGCGATGCGGTGGCATATAGCGATTCACCTGTGTGTGTGTGTGTGTTTGTTTGTTTGTGTGTTATATAGATTATATAGTGAACTTAAAAAATCTTCTTGTGAAAAACCACTAGTCCAATTTCAACCAAACTTGGCAGGATTGATCCTTGGGTGAAGGGCTCTTCCAAAGTTGTTCAAAGAATTTCATTCCATGCAGAAATCTGGTTTGCCATGGCAACCAAAAGGAAATTATAAGAATAAATTTAAAAAAATCTTCTTGTAAAGACCCAAAAGGCCTAGAGCTTTTAGATATTTTGCATTAGGCATTGTCTGGTAGACCCTCTACCAAGATTGTTCAAATTATAGCCCTGGTGGGTCAAAATCGGCCCCCCCCCCAGGGGTCATTGATTTTCACTATATGTACGTATAGTAAAAACTTAAAAATACCTTCTTGTAAAGACCCAAAGGGCCTAGAGCTTAGATATTTTGCATAAGGCATTGTCTGGTAGACCTCATTCCAAAAATTGTTCAAATTATAGCCCTGGGGGTCAAAATCAGCCCAGCCCCCCGGGGTCATTGTATTTTCACTATATGTACATATAGTAAAAACTTAAAAAATACCTTCTTGTAAAGACCCAAAAGGCCTAGAGCTTAGATATTTTGCATAAGACATTTTCTGGTAGACCCCTTACCAAGATTGTTCAAATTATAGCCCTAGGGTCAAAATCGGCCCTGCCCCAGGGTGTAATTGATTTTTACTATATGTTTACATATAGTCAAAACTTTAAATACCTTCTAATGTAAAGACCCAAAAGGCCTAGAGCTTAGATATTTTGCATAAGCCCTTTGTCTGGTAGACCTCTACCCAGATTGTTCAAATTTTAGCCCTGGGGTCAAAAATCGGCCCGCCCCCGGGGGGTCATTGGTTTTTCCTTATATGTACATGTATATAGTAAAATCTTATAGTCAAAAACTTTAAAAAAAATTCTTTCTTCTAGCAATTGACAAATGCTAGAGGTTAGATATTTTGGCATGAAAAACATTGTGTAGTGAACCTCTAGCAAGATTGTTCAAATTATAGCCCTGGGGTCAAAATTGCCCCCGCCCCGGGGTCCCAAAAATTGCCCCCCGCCCCGGGGGTCATTGATTTTCAATATTATACATATAGTAAAATAAAGAAATCTTATTGTCTGAAGGTACAAGGCTTCAAAAACTTAAAATACCTTCTTGTAAAGACCCAAAAGGCCTAGAGCTTAGGTATTAATGCGGTGGCATAGCATTTTTCTCAAATGCAATCTTGTTATCACTTTGAAAATAGGGCCTTGTATGGTTAACCTATTCCGCCAAGTTGGATTTATCCAAAAATTTCACCTAATTACTTAATTTATTTAATGATATCTTTCATATTTGGTAGGTGGATACCTTTAACGGTCCTCTAATTTTTTGTGGCGTTAGGCGTCTCTAGGTCAAGTTCACTTGTGTAAAAAAAAAAAAATCTAAACATTTCTGCTAATACAGCCTTTATTTTTAAGTAAATGTCTTTCATATTTATAATAGTTATACCAAGGGAGGTCCTCTTCCTTTTCCTTTAGTAAGGGGTCATTTGGGTCAAGGTCACCAATGTCAAAAATAGATTTTTTTACACTTTTACAGGTGTATTAACCTTATTCTATCGACAGATGTCTTGTATATTTTGTAGGAAACATAAAATTGAGGTATTCTCATTTGGATGGAGGTAGGGGTCAGTTGGGTCAAGGTCACCAGTGCTAAAAAATAGATTTTTACACTTTTGCTCATACAGCCTTTATTTATTGACAGATTTGTATTATAATTGGTAGGAAGATAACTTACATGGTATTCTTCATTTGGATGGAGTTAGGGGTCAGTTGGGTCAAGGTCAACAGTGCTAAAAATAGATTTTTACACTTTTGCCCATACAGCCTTTATATATTGACAGATTTATTTCATATTTGGTAGTAAAATAAGTTGCATGATATTCTTCCTTTGGATGGAGTTAGGGGTCAGTTGGGTCAAGGTCACCAGTGCTAAAAATAGATTTTTTACACTTTTGCCCATACAGCCTTTATTTTAAATATTGTTACTGACAAGAATCTGAGCCGGGGGCATTTGTGTTTAACAAACACGTTCTTGTTTTTCATGAACTTGTCCAGCTTTCAGTTTTGGGTCTGTTCAAGTTTGAGTTTTTGGGGGTGTTATTTAAAGATGAGAATTTAAATTTAGCCAACAATACACTGAGTTCAGAGGTTGGTCAGACTAGTCTGGCTCTGTACTGTTATCAATTAGTATTATTACATAAACCAATCACTTCTGGTTCCAGCAGTAATAGGTTTAGTATAAAAGGGCATGGTCACATTTGAAATCATTCTTGTGTGTCAAACATTAGTGTACATGTATGTAAAAAAATGTAGTTTAATTCTACTTATACTATTTCCAAATAGTTATTTACTCAATGATTGAGAAAGAGGTTTTTAAAGTCTGGTATATTTTTGAAAAAAAAAATGTGTACATGTATATATTTATATTTTACAGATGTACACATTATTTTCTGGGTTGTGGAAGTATATGTTTCAGAAGGATGAGTACAATATTCTCATTCTTGGGCTGGACAATGCTGGAAAAACTGTAAGTCATTAAAGATCGAGGGCTTATCATAAGTTATATCACTGTGAATAATAGTATAATTTGACGTAATTAAATCAAAATCTTTTTGCAAATCATAATATAAAGGGATTAAACTTTAAAAATAAGTGTTTTAATATAAGGTGAAAAACTTGCCTGTGCAAATATTCTGTTCAATATGTAGGATTGCCATATGACCAGTCACCTATACTACTGTGTTAGTGTGATATAAAACCTAACACAAAAAAGAAATGGCCATGGTCAGATGTATTAAAAATTTGATGGCTTTGATTAATGAAATTATATCAGCAATCTGTATACAATGTATCTATGTGATCAGGTTTCTTGCTGTCGGCTGCACATTTTTAGCTTATGAACCTGAGTATAATGTGCTTATGGTGAGCTATTTTGATCCCCCTCTGTCCGAAATCTATCATCATGCAGTATCCTATCTTTAGTATATTTGTCATTAACAATTTTTTAAAACATCTCTGAAACTAATGTTGAAGGGTTAGAAAAATGTGCAGCCTGACAGGGATTTGAACATAGAACCCTTGGAAAAGTGGCTTTTCAGTTTAACTGAATGATTTTACACAGCCGCACATAGTTTTATACTCTGACATTTCATTTTAGACCTATTTGGAACAGACTAAGATGAAGTTTACCAAAAACTACCAGGGCATGCACTTAAATAAGATTACCACTACCGTTGGTCTAAATAGTAAGTATATTAAATTTATTGGTTATCAATTTTTTGACAGGTTTTATGGCCCAAACATTTTTTGAATTTGTTTGTATATATAACACAAGTGTTTAAAAATGAAAGTTTTATTGCAGTAGGTTTTTCTGTCTTTAATTAGTTTTACAAAAACTATATGGTAAAACTTTGATATTCCATTTACATATGTTTTATTGCCTTTAGTATCCAGCTTTATTTGTCATCCAATGAAAATGCTGTATTTCTTTAAAAAATTTGTGTGTTAATTACTATATGAGAACAAAAGTCGATGCTACATTTATATCAAAGTCTGTTCATAGTCTTCTATTTTTCATAGTGCTTCATAGAACTGTATTTGTAGAAATTGTTGTGATGTAATAAAGTGTATATTAATGAAGCCAAATAAAGCTTGACACTAAGTATGTCAGTATTCATGTACAGCTGTTCTACAGGAATTAAAGCATTCTCCTGTCTTATCGCTCCCATCAAACTTTCTAATTTCTGTAGAACAACATGGATGAACACTTACATATACTTATAATGTATTTATTAGACAATGCTTACACCACAATGATAAAAATACTATTCTAATGTTGACAGTTTTTAGCTGGAATATAGAATACGGAGAGGTATTATACTCACCCCTCAGCATCGATGTTGGCTACTGTTAAGTTAACAGTTTTTTACATGCAAATTCATTTGTATCTTGAAAACTACTGGCCCCGTGTTCACAAAGATTTAAGGATCAGGATCAAGATCAGGATCAAATTTAAAAACTCTAATATTCTTCATTGTTTATCCTCAAAGATTAAATATATAATATTAATTTGATAAAACTAGACTTGCAATAGCAAGTTTATGAAATTTTAGAATAAATTTATTGTCATTTTTGCAAGATACGGGTATTTTACAGTTGATCCAAATATTGATCCTGATCCTAAAATTGATCCTTATTTTGATCTGAAAATTTTTGTATTTGTTTTGTTTTTTGTTGATTTTATCCCAAAATAGTTTGGTTTCTTTGCAAATCAGCAATATTTTACATTTTGAATATATACCATTCAGTTCTATGAAAGCATGATTAATTTTAGTAACATAAAACAATGAAAATAAAATCAGGATCACTTGATCCTGATCCTGATCTTTTGTTAGTGAACACGGGGCCTGGAAGGAAATTGCTCCAAAACTTTTAAAGGAAATGGGTTGAAACTTTACACACATTTTCTCTGTGATTATATAACATGAAAGGCACACGTCCCATAACTCAGTCTCTGATTTACCTTTTTACAGAGTTATGTCCCTTGTGAATCACTGAGAATAGTCAAGCATGTCTTACAGACAGCTCTTTTTACAGAAATCATGACTGTTATTTATGCACTTATGTGGCTAACTGTGCCAATTTGCAAATGAAGCCTATTTGCTAAATGTGTCTGCTTCTATACCTGATGATAGTCAATAGTGTTCACACCACTGGTGGTTTAATGTTGTGACCAAGTTTCTTCAGTGACAAAAAAACTTATTTTTTTCTTTGGAAAAGTATTAAAGATTTCACACCAATTAGGCTATTGTCAGTAGGATTTTACAAAATTTTCTTGAGTATACTATGAATTTACATGTATTGTTGTACTCTGTAAAGAGAACTTTTATCTGATATAATCTGTAATGTGAATTATTTTGCATTTAATTTTTATGTCTGCATTTTTCAGTTGGAACAATAGTGATAGGAGGTGTAAAGTTGAAGTTTTGGGATCTTGGTGGTCAAGAAGAGTTACAGTCACTGTGGGACAAGGTCAGTCTGCATATATAACATTTACATCTCCCTGTGTTGGCTCCCTGCTTGTATTTAGGAACTGTTTATCTAAAAGATTTAAAAGTCAAAATGTTGAAAATTAGGTGGCGAACAGTGTGGAATCTGGTCAGATGAAACAGAAGCACAGGCTGGTCTGGTTTTATACAGGTGTCTTAGGCCCTCATCTTTTGGCGAAAGGATTCATGATAAATTGATATTGCTAACCATTCTAAATGTCCTAAATGAAATTGTTCATCTTTCAATCTGGACAAAAATAAATTAAATGTACAACTTTTGAAAGAAATTCTCTTATGGGTAGAATCAGTTAATTTTCAACGGATTTTTATAGAAGTTTCCTAGGGCTATGTGAGATATTTATCATTCATGCATAGTAAAATATAAAATTGAAAGGAATTATAGGAAAATGTAAACTTATTTTGTCTTCACCTTTTCACTCACTATATACCCTTGGATGGGCATAATGTCGTTTTAAGCTATATTGTAATTATTGTTTATTTTGTATAATTGCAGTATTATGCAGAATCTCATGCTGTTATTTACATTGTTGACTCATCAGACAAAGAAAGAATTGATGAATCTAAAGAAGCCTTTGGTAAATATAAATATTTGCAGTTATTATTTCATACTTTTTGCAATTTTTAGCCTGAATTAAGCTGGATGATCTAGAGATGATGGGCATCTCATTTTCAGTTGAAAATTTCAGTATGTATACATGAATTTCCTTGAAGACTTAGTTGAAACATGATTTGCTCAAGTTAAGAGCCATGTTAATTCAAGGTAAAGATTTTTTTTGTACATTTTAAAAAAATGATTGCAGAGTATTAAACAAAGAAAATTGGATTCTCTAGATGAAAGTCTGTCATTAGAAAACATTTATATTGGAGTCTTTTATTGATATATTTTATAAGGTACTGGTTCATTGATACAAAAAAAATCTGTTTTGAGTTCAGCATTTGAAAGGAAAACTCCACCATCCATGAAGAAATTCCCTTTATAGTAACTGTCTTGTAATAAGAATATGATTATGATAATTGGTTTTTCATTTCCTTCATGTTAAAAAGATATAATTTATATAACAAATATTTTTTTTATTCAGGATTTTTTTTCCAAATTACTGAAGTGCTATTAAAAAAAGAAAAGAAAACTGGAATATAAACTGTTGATGTTTGATTACAACAAATTGATATGAATGCCTTTAGCCCTTATATTCATAGTGGATAAAAACCTGCCAAATGTATCATTTTCAGATAAGATGATTGTTAATGAAACTTTGAAAACGGTTCCTTTGCTCTTGCTAGCCAACAAACAAGATTTACAGGTAATTTTTGTCTTATATCTAAAGTTGTCTGTCATGTTAGTATGGCTGTTTTAAATTTTAAAGAGGGTTTTCATTATTAACAGATTGACAATCCATATCTTCAGTTGAAATGTTGTTAAATTGGTTGTTGTTTTTTTAGCCTGTAGATTATAATGTCCTCCGTGAAGCTTGGCCAGATCGTTTGTTTTTATTCGCGCATCTGTTTTCTCAGATAAAAATGAAAACCCTGTTTAAAGCTACCCTGTGTGTCTTTTTTAGTTGAAACCCTAAGTTGCATGTATAGTTTTTCAATATAAAGAGCAGGTTTGTGAAGCTTCTTAGTTTCATGTACCTTAGAGATCATTATGATGTCCCACTAAAATGAGCAGTGTGAAGCAAAATTATTCAAGTATCCTGAAAGAATTGGATCCTAAAATGGGAAACTTTTTATTTATGGATACTGAAGTGATATGAAATAATGCAAAAATATTATCTTAAATATATACTTCAAGATGTCCTTTTCCTTGACACTGCTCATTTTTGTGGGCTTTGTATCTAAATAGTCTAGAATTGACAGGTTTAAGTTAAAGATCTGAATGAGTAGAGGCATTTTTTTTATAAAACATATGATAAATGTGATTGTGTTATTGTAATTATTGTTGTACATATTTCATAATATATTTGCATGTATTGCATGTATATTTCTTGGCAAAAGAAAAAAAATTGCTGGAATTCCAACAATAGTTACATGTTTGATATGATATGATGTAATTTGTTTTTTTATCTATGCATTTTTGTTTGCCTATTAGAAATGTATTCTTCATATACCTAAATGTCAGCAGAAAGACATATGTTTTCATTGCAAATACATAACTGTGTATTTTAGGATGTTGTGACAGTTGGAGATATAAAGTCAGTCTTCAACAGTAGTAGAGAACTTCTTGGACACAGGGATTGTAGAGTAAATGGTGTATCTGCTTTAAAAGGGTAAGAAAGAAAATTTATATTTGTTTCAGTGGTTTCATACCGACAATAATTCAATTATTTTATTTATATGAATATCATTCAGCTATAGAATTTCTGTAATTTTTACAAAGTTTGTGTTCTTGTTACATTATGTCTGGTTATTAATTGTTATATTTCCTTTTTATAATCCTGCACTTTTGTAATGTCGCTTTTCATTGGATAATTATGACGTTTGTTAATTTTATATAAAATCGCCATCAATTTATGAAGTAATCATATTTTTTCCTCTAAAAAGAGAGTTTGGTGTCACAGTATTATAAATTTGTTATAAAAATCCCTGATAGGTTATATGGCCATATATAAAGGGTTGTTTGCAATATATGTACAAACAACCGTTTATATATTCATTGGCAACTTGCCAGTAATTACCCAATTCTTCACGATACTCAGAGATCAACTGTCACAGAGAAATTTCACCCCACCAGCAATCCCTGTTGTTTATTATATAACCCATGTCTGGAAGCTTTTGCCATATAAGCCTACAATCACATATACTGGGTCATATAAACCTTTAAAGAATCTTTAATCCTAATAATATATTAGAACATGTATATATGTTTATTTCAGAGATGGCATTAATGAAGGTATTGAGTGGATGGTGGATTGTATAAAAAGGAACAGTTTAGTGCGACCTCCCATGCAGAAAGATATTACATGAAATTTTTATGGATGGTCTCTTTTTTTGTGTACTTTATATACATGTGGGGACCATTTTGTGATACATGTAAATTGAGGGTTTATTGATAAATTATTCACAAGGAAGTTGAGTTCATCAACATACAAATACAGTGTTATCACAATATTTCACTATATTCTTCAGATAGATGAGGGACAGCATTGCTTTAAACTTTAGTATGTTCAGCATCATTTATAATTTATTTATTATATGTGAATAATCTGACTTTGAAAAAAATGCGAATTAGTGAAGGACTTAAATTCATTTTGTTTTTTGACTGCAGCTCTTTAGTGAGATGTGTGATTATAAAGGGTCTTGGACATTTGCACCACCTTCCCCGGACCGTTACCCACTTTTTTTTATACAGTGGCAGACATTGCCCCCTTGCATGTTTGAAAGGGCAGACATTTCCCCCAGTAAAATTTTTTTAAGGACACACATTCGCCCAGGCCCTTCCCCATATCCCGTTGCATTTATTAATATGGAGGGAAGATGTTTTCAATTTTGATTTTTTTTTTAAACTTGGGGAAAATGTCCGCCCTTTAAATTTTTAAATGGGGGTGCAGATTATCTGCCCATCAAATGTCTGCCCCTTTCAAAGTTACAAGGGGACAAACGTCCGCATCTGCAAAAAGTGGCAAATATTTGTTTACAAATTATTACAGCAATGAAAAACTGTTTTTGCATGGAATATGAATAAGCCCAAAGTGTCAGTATGAGCTTGTAAAAAGTGATATATTTTTTAAATGATAGTTTGGGTACCTCTAAAGAGGAGTACAGTTTACTGAGACATTT